AAGTAAATGACAACATCCCATCTGAGCATCATCCCAGAGCATCTATGTACCAAGTTTCACAAAAATTTGATTAGTGGTTCTTGAGATAACGGTGGAACAAAAAAAGTGACATACATACATACATACATACATACATACAGACATACATACATACAGACAGGGTAACTGCAAAGACTCCCTTTTGTGCTTCGCACACGGGAGTCAAAAATCGCGCGCAGCATTTCTTGTTTATTAGTGCATCTCATGAATAAATTAAATGCCCACCGGCTTTACGGTTGTGCTCATGCCACAGTCCTGCCGCGTTTCAACCCTTGGGATATTTTACTATAATAGGGCGTGTCTACATCGCGCGTTAAAATTTGCATATAACATTAGCGGGTAACAAAGTTGTGATAAAGGAAAGAGTGGTATAAACAAGGATCAGTGATTACTTGAAATCGATTCCAGGAAGGGGGGTAAAAGAAAAGTTATATAACAATTTATTATTTAATAATTTATTAAAATACATAAGTTTGTCCAACTCCCTGTGGTTTGCGCGAAGGTTATGATTAGAATGCCACGTGCAAGTCAAATTTGCACGTACACGCATATATACAACATATATGGCATATATACAACACTGCGCCTCACCTTTTCCACGCGCATCTACACTCCCAAGTCCCAAATAAACATACCCCCCCGGAATAAACATATCCCCCGAAAAATTTCCAAAATGACTGGTAAATTGTTCCCTTGCTTCTAAAATGTGCTCTTACTGGTGTATATGCAAACTTTTTACTGTTCCTTGTAATAGGAATACAAATATACAACAAATGACACATTTCTAGAAATATACAAATCTTTGTTTGTCAGGCGGCGAGATATAGTCAAACAGCAAACCAATCACTACAATGATGATGTATTCCACAAAATTTGATCAGTTGTAAGGACAAAAGTTTTCTCGATTTGCATGTCACTGTGCGTTGATAAAAATGCATGGGCTGGTCGGCTTCATCAATAAAGTTCCTCTAGTGTGACATTCGTGGCTGATGAAAAGCAAGATACCGTATAATCTTTTAAATAGGCGCACTCTAATTAAGACGTCACAGGAGTGAAAGGCCTTAATTAGGTTTTACAATAGGCGTCATGAAATTTTGAAAAATTACAGTCAATCAAAAAAACTTCACATTATAAAAAAAAAATACTCAGTATATTTAATATAATATACATTAATTTTTTTAATTTTGTTGGTAAAGTATTGAATAAAAAAACATGAATGCATTGCTTAGTAGCAAATAATCATGGTACGCAATCCGGTCATGAATTTCACAAGTGAATACCTTACTTATTAAGTGTTGCAATTGTTGATTATTACTCAGTAGTAATTGCGATACAATTTCCACAATGTTATTCAAAGCACATGAGTGACCTGAATGGATGGTGCCAACGTGTTCAAATTACCATAGCTCATTTAAATATGTTAATGACAGTTCAGCGACTTCATGGTGAATGCAACACGTTAGAGATTTACTGATGTAGTGCCATCTTTTGGCTTTGATTTCGATGGGGAAACTGCATGATTTTTTATTTAAAACAAATTTTTTTTTTTTAATTTAAAAAAATAAATAAATATACGATCCAAAATAAGAAAGTACCGTTAAGTTTATTTGAAACTTGGGTAGTGGCCGCAGATGAACGCGGTGAACCACCCGTTTGATTTCCTTTTCGATTTCGATAGTCCTGTAGACAATTTTTAGCTCTATTGTCATCGAAGATGACTTAGCAGAGCTCATGGTATGACTGATCATCCGCATCCAACTTTACTGTTCATCATCTTTTCCAGAACCGCTTGACCAAAAGCTTTCATATTTGCACCAAAGGTACTTGGGCTGATTCTTAATCAAAGTAAAATTTGTGTCAAAATGACATTGTATGCAAAACTCTATTTTTAGTGAATTTGTTTGTAAAATTCATCTTTTCGACTTCTTCTCCAAAAAGTCAGACATGTACAAAAAATGTAGACACATGTACAAAGTTCTCTCAAAGTTG